AATATTTGCCGGAAGATCGCGATCCGGCACATGCTTGGAGTGTGATATTTTTTGTTCTTTTTCTGGCTTCTGCAGGTACTGTGATTTTAGCTTCTATCCTTGAGGGAATGTAGGATAATTTTGGTGAACTTGAGCTTACAAAATTTCAAATAGTTTTGATTTTTGAAGTAATATAAAGTCATGCTCTTCCCCTTATTAGTTGTACTATTACTTAGTAGTAGCTTAGTCTCTTATTCTCCTATGTATATTACTATATGTTGCTTCATTTGCCTTGTATCTTGTTATTTGATGTCATAAAAGTATTTCTTCTGAGCCGTCGGAATAAGCAAGGTCTGCATACAATCTAACTCCCGTGGACTCCACTTGTGAGATCACACTGAGTATGTTGTTGAGGTTGGTTTGAAGTTAGGCTGTGCAACATGGTGTTGCTTTAGTTATCTGGATACTGATATGTTGTTAGTTTGGATCTGAAAATGGTTCTAGGACTTGTTAAATTGGTCCAAGGGGACAAATTCTGGCCACAGTTGGGTCTGTAATGTTACAAGTTTTGAATCTTTAGTGGTTGTGCTTGGCCTTTCTTACTCATTATTTACTATGTTGATGCGAAAAACAAGACTTATAGGAGTGCATTTAGAAACCATCCTGCTTCTTGAATTCCGAGGGGTGGTAAAATGGGAAGAGAATAATTTACATTATCTCAGCTTAGAGAATTGATTAATCTCATTTGACTTTTATAAGTCTTTGCTGGTTATAATTTCAGAAACTACGTTATTCAGTTGGTGAGAGATTGTCTAGAGGGTTGTTTCTCTGACTGTAGATTTAGGGAACTTTGGTCAGGGGTCTGATATATGTGGATGGAGAAAGGCTTGTCTGCATAAATCAGTCATCCACAGCTTCTCCTTTCAACTTTTAACACCCGAGCTTGTGAAAATTTGATTACTGAGTGGGTTGATAATTTGGCACCCTTTAATTGTTGATCAACTCACCTATGTTCGTAAATGTCCTGATTTTCTTCAGACTGGTTGCTCATGTTCTCCTTTCTACACCTCTACTTATACAATTACTGATAAAGGCTAATCTACAGTGCTTATTGCAAGTAATGATAATATATATCCAACTACATCGGTCAAGAAAGTGTGTGTACATCCTCCAAGTGCTAGTCAAATTTCTCTTCCAGACGGTAGACATTTGGCTTATCAGCAGCAGGGTGTTCCTGCTGAGCTGGCTAGATTTTCAATGATTGCTCCGCATTCTTTTGTCTCGTCTCGGATTGCAGGTATTGTACTAATTATTAACCGTTAAACCTTTCCAATCAATTCTATGTGTCCGTCTTCCTATTCTCTGCTTTCACCTCGAACAAACAGAGATTAAAATGGTTATTTTGGCAAGTCAGTTATACAAGCTTTTGCATGTGTATTAATGGTGTGTGTTTGTCTCCCCAAAACAAGCAGGAATACCTGGCATTAAGGATTCTCTACTGCAAGAATATGGTATTCGCTTGGTAACATATGATCTTCCAGGATTTGGAGAAAGTGATCCTCATCCTTCCAGGAACCTTGAGTCATCAGCCATGGATATGCTACACTTATCCTATGCAGTCAATGTTACTGACAAATTCTGGGTGGTGGGATTCTCAGGTGGATGCATGCATGCTTGGGCCGCCCTTAGATACATCCCTGACAGGATTGCAGGTAAGATGGTCTTTTTCTTTGTTTTTACAAATTGTTTGCCATTCCGTCTCCAGTTCACATGCAAGGTTCCTTAGAGAAATCATTCTAGCCACCTAGCTGGCTGTTGTCAGCCTGTCAAAGTCAACGTGTTTGATGTTTATCACCGAGATTTGGAAACTGTACAACTCTATAGCATCTTCTCAGGGGAAAATGGACACAATAAAATTTGCCCAAGAATAAGAAGTATTGACCAAGTCTGTGAATCCTGCCAAATGAGTGATACACTACAACTAACATAATGCTTATATTAAGAGAAGTGCCACAAACGCCTAAACATACTTTTGCAGTTGGAAAGGTCACTAGTCTGCTACAGTGGGTGAAAGAAGGCCTCATGATACTGTTGGTGCTCTTTCTTGATTCTGGGTCCTTAGGGTTCTTCAAACACTTCATTGCATCTGTGATTTATGGCGAAGATTTCAAAGCCCCATTATACTTTATCTATTAAACTCAACATGCAAAACAACATTTAGATTCGGTTCATATTCTCTCAGTTGAATCTAATTCCTGAGTGGATTTGCAGGTGCCGTCATGGTCGCTCCAATGGTTAGTCCATATGAACCAAGAATGACCAAGGAGGAGAAAAGTAAAATGTGGAAGAAATGGACAACAAAGAAGAAAAACATGTATATATTAGCTAGGAAGTTTCCAAGACTACTTCCTTACTTTTACCGTAGAAGCTTTCTTAGTGGAGTCCATGGCCAGATTGAAACACGGCTTGCCTTGTCTCTTGGAATAAGAGTAAGTAACCTTGATGCTTGACCAACAACTATGAAATAGTTAACAAGAGTTACACCGCTAAATTGATTGTGCACATCTTATTATTATTCATGAATGGAACAAAGCTAAAGAGAAATCAAATCACGAAAATGCTGTTTACCCCTTTATTTGTAGTTAAAAGAAGAACATTGTTTTGTAAGAGATTTTGTGGAGGTTGAGTGGCTTTGGTATATTTATTTTCCCAGATCAACATTTGCCTAATCGACAGAATGACTAACCTTTCCAGGATAAAGCTTTGCTGGAGCATCCATTGTTTGAAAAGTCCTGGCAGAGAGATGTAGAAGAATCTGTTCGACAAAAGAATGCAAAACCATTTGTAGAGGAAGCTGTCTTACAGGTTTCCAATTGGGGATTTAGTCCTGCAGACCTCAAAGTACAGAGGACACGCACTGGGAAGGGTATTATGCATTGGATTAAATCTCTATTTGGTCAAACAGACGAAATCTTGACTGGATTCCTTGGTCAAATACATGTATGGCAGGTTAGTTCACATCCTCCTTTACCTGTTTTCGTTCCCCTTATTCAAGATAATTCCTCATGATTTATAAACATATTTACGAACAACATGTGTAAAGTAACCAAATTTTATCATCAGGGAATGGAAGATATGGTGGTACCGCCATCCACAAGTGATTTCTTGCAGCGAGTCCTACCAGATGCAATGGTACATAGGCTCTTATACGAGGGTCATTTTACTTATTTTTACTTTTGTGATGAATGCCATAGACACATATTTAGCACTGTTTTTGGAAATCCTCAAGGACCTCTTACCCCAGAACCAGAACCAGATCAATCTCCCATCCAAAACGATGACGTAGAGATGCAAGATACAATTCTGGGTGATGTTGCCACTGATGAAGAAAATGTATCTATTGTAGTTAATCCTGATAAAGAGGATTACATCGACTAGCTTGGTCGCGAAGATTGTCCAACTGTCCATTATCTATATGGACAGTGTAGTTCCTTCCTAGCTTTGTGAATAATACGAAGCATAGATTACCTAGGAGGAAATAGTTACTGGAAAGATCAGTTATTAATACAATTTTATGTAGTGTCTGATCTACTTATTATTATTACAAGATCACAGCTATAAAGATGAGAGTCTCATTATAGTTTTCTTTTAAACATTTTTGTATTAAAAGGTCCAAGAAAGTTTGGAATAAAAGACATTATTTCCACTGTTTCTAATTATGGTGTACTGAATGTTGAAAAACTATTATTTTCCTTGGCTGATATTAGAAGGTTCGAGTTTGGATACCGAGTTGTCTTTGTTAGAGAGCGATTTATCCTATCGTGGAATTTTTTCGTGTGAATTTGGATTTTATCAAGCTTTTAATGTGAATATCTAAACGGCCTGAAAAAAAAGAAAAGAGAATGAGTCAACTAAAAGAAAGGTAAATTTTATTGGTGAATGATGAAAACATGCCACATTCACACACAAGAATGAATCAACTAAATTAATGATAAATCCTTGAAGCAACTCATGTTATAAACTTCATAAATTGCAACATTTTAAAACCATTAAAATCTTTTTTCTAGCAAATGAATCATTAATCTCCTCTGAAACTAATCAAGTTGCTTTTTAAAGAATTAATAATTTAAACAACGAAGATAAGACAATTATAATCCTTTCTTATTAAAAGGAAAACGGCTCAAATATGTCATCGAATTTTTAAAAAAGGTTTGACTCATTTATGTCATTACCGTTAAATAAAAGATTTATTCATGCCATGATTTTTTAACTGTGGTTTTGTAAAATCATTTTTGACACGTGACCAATTATTATTTGGCCACGTCAATAATAAAATCAAAATTTTGAAGAAAATTGACTTAATTTTTTTTAAATTAAATAAATTGATGACGTGACCGAATTATAATTGGCCATGTCATCAATTTTTTTAATAAAAAAATAAAATAAAAAATCAAAATAATTTTTTTTTTGATTTTTTTATTAAAAAAATTGATTTGTGGCCAAATCAGAATTGACTATTTGTCAAAAATGGTTTTGCAAAATCACCATTAAAAAATAATGACATGAATGAGCCTTTTCTTTAACGATAATAACATAAATGAATCAAACTTTTAACTGATGATATAAATGAACCTTTTTTAAAAGTTCAATAGCATATTTGAGCGTTTTTCTTTAATAAAATATGAAAAAGTAATGGACACAAAAATAACAAGGTCGATAAATTTTACATTTAGTGGATAATTTTGTTCTTTTTCACTAAATTTAATGGAAATTACCAAAAAAAAATTCTCTTTAACATATTTAGCCGCTGATTCGTCTACAACATCATCTACCGAATATTGAAATTGCGCATAAAATTGTCGAGTAATGGAGCATTAATTATAAATTAAAATAAAAGAAATAATTTACATCTATGATTTCTTTTTTTTTCCATTATTTATTTTGATAAAACATTTTTAATAGTTTAAAAGTATTTTTGATCCTTTTTCGTTTATCGCATCATATTGTATTGTATTTGTGTATATGGAACCCAATTGGAGAGTGCCGGTTCCCCCTGAAATTTTCTGGCTTCATCTGTATACAACAGTTGAGTCTTCCTTTTCTATAGCACTGAATGTCGGTTTTCGTTCACTCTTTCACTGCTAAACTCCATCTCCCTCACAATCTCTCTTCTTCTTCTTCCTCATATTTCCCTTCTAGAATCTTCTTTCGCTTTCAATCTCGTTCCCTCACACACAGTACCTCGCTATTCTCTTCACTCATGCCAAACAATCAGGTATGTTATTACTCCTTTTATCTCAATTTATGTTATACTTGTGTATTGAGAGTTGATTAAATGTTAAAAAAAATTATACGAGCATGTTAATGTGATGGAAGAATTACTTTTTAAATGTTAGGTTGAAGTTCACCCAGTTTTGAATCTGTGAGAAATGAAAAATGTTGTGTGAATTGGAATGAAGAGAGTATGATTTTATATATTTATTGGATCATTGATGTAAGTTTTGATATTGGTATATTGGTTCGAAATGTTTAATTTTGAGATTGTATTATAAAAAGAACGATTTTTTCTCCACATAAATTGGAGGAGGGATAGAGGGAGTATTACATTTGTTGGATTATTGATCAAGTTTTGATATTGGTATGTTCATCTTCTTTTTTGAGTTTTTGGGTACGATTCTTTTCACATAAATTGGGAGGGACAGAGGATATATTGTCCGTTTTGTTTTTGTTTTTGGTTCTGAATGTCCAATTTTGAGACTGCTTTCTAAAAGAACGAGTCGAGTCTGTGATAATCTTCGGTGTTGTCACTATGATCTTTTTGGTTAAATTTTAAATATTCTAATTCCTCAAATGCACATGGAAAGGTTGAGCTCGTCGCACGTGGCTTGCCTAGTGTGGTTTACCTCTTATGTATAGTTTGCGAGCTATTGCACAAGAGCTGGGTTTACCTTTTCCGCACCTAAAGGGTAGTGGCTGCGGGTTCCCTTGTCATAGAAAATAATAATTAGGGAGTGGTATAGCTGATTCAATTAGTTCAGGATTGAGGGATAAATTGATGTAGTTTCCTTAACTATTAATCTTGGATGTTGCCGTTACAATCTTTTTGGTTAATTTAAGCTTTTCTATTTCTGTGAATGCAAATGGAGAGAGACATATATTGAGGATTGGTATAGCTGATTCAACTAGTTCGGAATTGAGGGGTAATTGTTGTTGCTCCTTATGTGTCAATATTTTTCATTAAGAAATCCAGTAGTTTCTTGAAAATGGAAGTCAAATAACTACTGGCTAACTAGGAAGGAGAGTTAGACACCACGGTGCAGTGTGTTCTGTTTTAAAGCTTTGTTCTTGTTTTGTGCTTATATGATCGCCAAAGCTAGAAATGCCTTTTTTATATTTGGTTCGCTGATTTTATCTAAATCTTGCTACTTCCTAGTGGAGTTTCAGACCATGGCAGTTGTGTTAAACCTTTTCTTTTTTGTAATTGTTTCTCTTTGTGACATCATCACACCACCTTACATGTGTGCTTCTTGTGCCGTGATTAGGTGGGACTGAGATAGTTGTGGAGTATGCACTCTGTCAGTCTTTTTCTATCTTTTTTGTTATGTGTTTGTAAGTGCATCTAAAATTTGGATCTAGTTTAATAAACTTTAATTTTCTGATTTGCAGAGAAAGGGTGGTTATAAAGAAAAAAAATGGCAAGTGAGGAGTTCCAATAGGGTACCAGGTTCATCTTCAAATGTCGAACCTGCATCTCCTGCAACTACTGGAGCCATTGCTGACCGTCTAAGTTCCTTGAATATTACTGAAAGTGGTGCACAGTCTAGTGTTCCAGTTGCATCTCTTCAGTTTGGCAGCGTTGGATTAGCACCCCAATCACCTGTGCAGCATCAAAAAGTCATCTGGAAACCCAAGTCATATGGAACAGTGTCTGGAGCCCCAAAGATTGAAGCTGTAAAAACACCAAATGAACAAAAAAGTGCTCTTTTGAGCAAATTATTTAAGGGTAGTTTATTGGAAAATTTTACTGTAGATAACTCCACATTCTCAAAAGCCCAAATAAGGGCCACTTTCTACCCAAAATTTGAGAATGAGAAATCAGATCAGGAGGTAGTGATCTCTCCAACTTCTCTTTCTCTAAGGTTCATCACACTTAAATGTGGAAATTCAAGCATTGTAGTATGGTTTTTCAGATTAGGACAAGGATGATAGAGATGGTCTCCAAAGGCTTGGCTACAGTGGAGGTAGGACTCAGGCTTGTTTGGCTTTTGATGTTATGCTAATTTAAATTCCGTTTATTCTTTTTATTGAGAAGGTACATTTTCGTTGAACAGGTCTGATTTTGAGTTAAAGTTTATCTTACAGTTCTCGGTCCTTCATCAAAACATCACTTTAGGAAGTTAGATTTTTTTTTTGATAACCGAGAAATCCGTCTGTGACCCGCCCTTTGGACCAATCACATCCTTCTAAACTCGGTAGATAGTGGGCCCGCCCCTTACCCTAGGAAGTTTAGATTTTTATAAGATGAAGGCACCATTTTCACTACCTTGGTCGTTGTTCTAGCTGGGGTTATCTAGTCATAATCTCTTTTTATATTCTGTTCTTCACTTTTTAGAACTTGTTTCTTATAGGTGTTTTTTAAGCTGCTTATGCGGGAGCTTTTTTTTCCAGGTCTCTCTTAAGCATTCTGGATCTCTTTTTATGTATGCTGGGCATAAGGGTGGAGCATATGCCAAGAATAGCTTTGGAAATATGTATGTTTTGCTTATTAGTACGGCATATATGTTTAAACATGTTCTATTTTTTTGAAATTGGTAAATGTCTATTCCTCAGCATTGAGGACATGCTGGGCACCATCAAAAAGTGTTAGATTAAAAAAAAAACAAATAGAGATCTTGATAAATCTACAAAAAGATCTATATCCTCTAAACCTACTTCTTTACATCAAAACTAGAAAGATACTATACAATTCCATTTAACTTTCTAAATGGGATTAGATCTATCTTCATAACGCATCCCATTTCTCTCTCTAAACTGTCCACCAGATGCATTGTGGTATGATCCTCCACCACATCTTTTGACTTTTGCTGCCTCTTCTTTTCATCTAGCAGCTAAGCAAATCTGCAGTATGCTCCAGCATAATCCAACCTGTCTTTGTTATGTTGAGAAATAGAGACCAAAGCTGTGCTGTAAAAGTGCCGTGTAAAAACAGATGACTAACATTTCTCATTGCATAAGAAGCACCAGGAAACTGTAATGGCCCTCTTTTTCTTCAAAACTTCTCGTGTCAGGCATGCTCTTTTAACCACCAGCCAAGTAAAGCATTTTACCTTGGTTGGGGCTGGACAGTTCCATAAGTTTCTCCATATTTTTGGTTGCCCTCTATACTGTACCCTTGCTATAGGAGGTAAGGTCTATGTCCCCTTCTTATGTATTTCTATGTTGTTATAATAAACATGGTTTAAAAAAAAAGTAGTTGAATACCTGCACGCCACCATGTTTTGTATACAAAGATTATTGGTCTAACTTTTGTTGTTTTGGTACTCTTAATTGTACGCTCAGTGTTGTTGGTTCAAACAATCTTATCGAGTTATGGCTGTGCTATTGTTAAAAAGCAATGGAGCTCAAGAGTGACTTCATATGACATTCATCTTCTGCTTTGTAGTGTGATAAACTGATCAACTACATTCTTGATGGTTTATATTGTGCACTGATGCTTCTTATGTTGTGCAGAGAATGATATAGGCCTGCGGGCTATGTCGCTCGGACTCTTCAAAATGCTTCCCTGGGTGCACATCCGATCCTCCAAAAGTAGTGCATTTTTGGAGGACCGACTTGGGTGCGGCAACTTTTTGACGAGTCTGAACAACGTAGCCTGTGGCACCATTTACAGCAAAATCATCCATTCTACACTTCCGTGGCCTTCTATATTGTTGGATCATCTAGTACCTGGCAATCATTATGGTGGTTAAACTCTTTGAATCTCAACTAAGACTTGCTGTCATATTTTCATTTTGTAGCTATACTGCCGTTGGTGTCTTTGTTCTTGGACGGATGTTTCGTGAGACATGGGGTACTCAAGCAAGTAAGAAGCAAGCAGAGTTCAATGAGTTTCTTGAGGTATTGAACTAAATATTAGTCCTTATGTAGGAGAATTCATAGGACATACTATATAAACATTGCTGATTCTTTCAGTTCAATGTTTTCTGATCACGAATGAGCCTCAAGAAACTCATCAATGATAAATATAGTCTGAACTAAAAGAGCTTGCTGCTGTACAGTTTCAAGGAAGACTTGGTGTAGTTTATCTGGAGAAAATAAATATGGCTTTTAGTTTATTTTCAAAAACTTCAGCTTTGTTCAACCTCATGCTTTTTTTTTTTGAGAATGATAACTTTTTTCCTATTTATCCACAGGTATACTACATCAAAGTAGCCCCCCTTCCAAAAATATTACAGACTAGACTGACTCCATTTGTGCTTTTTGTCACAAATAGTCTATAACATCAAAAAGTTCTTCTGCCTGTACTAAAAGTTTTTGTTTACACCAAAAATAATAAAGAGCTATACAATTCATCTTGAAGTTCTGCAAATTGTTCTTCTTTCCCTCAAAACATCTTTGATTCCGTTCTTTCCACACTGTCCACCATATACAAGCTGGGACAATCCTTCATCTCTCCTCCTTAATTGTAGTATTACCTATATTGATCCAACAATTTAGGAGTTGTGCTACCTCATGCACTTGAAAATCCTCTTTATCTGACTATTACAGAAGTGATTTTTACTGTTTTCTTCCTTTGGTTTTTACTTGTAGTAGTTTTTGTCCCTCAAATTTCTTGTCTTTCCTGATCTCCTATCTTGTTCTATCTTTTTTCTTTCTGGCCTTTATTCTGTTTTTTTTTCCAAAAGAAACAACAACAGGATCCTCCTTTCTGTTACGATTAACAACAACATCGACAAGTCACTGTTTTTTAATCACATATAAACTAGACAATCAAGTCAAGCAAAGCCAACCTACATCCTTTTGCTAAAGTTGCAGTAGTATGCCAGTGTTTCAACAAAGAAAGACAAGTATCAAAACTAAGTTCTAATAAATTGGAGTTGATAGCCTCAGATGTATACACGGACCAGTATCGTCTGTTTGATGTGCAGAATTAATTTGATTCGCTGACTGATTACAAATTATATGCGTGCCTATTGTTTAGACCAGATGGAGAGTCCAACCCTGTTTTTCCTTACTTACGCAAAATGTTATATAGTCATAAAATTAGATTAAAAAGGATGTGCTGCCAAAAACTGGAATGGAGTCTAGGATTTGTCATCATGGACAGAAAAAATTTCTGCACCTTCACCATCATTTAAACACAATGTCCGTGTGTAGATGAATCCATATAACCCAGACAACTGAAACTTTTTGTAAAATGAATCCTGGTGATCATCTAGTACTTCTTAACAAGCCTTGGATCTACAGGGTTGACACAAAAAGGGGAACGGTTGAAAGAGTTTGTTTGATCGAGAGGAAGAAAGTGAAACCAAAATTTTGGGTGAAGGTAGAAGATAGTTTCTTAGTTGATGGAAAACACATCCTCAATGGTTCAAAATGCTATAGAATATGGGTGAAGGATAGAAGATCGTTGGATCAAGTGCTTCTGGGTAATAGCTTGTGTGCAGAACTTTGAGCATGAATAGGGTATGCAGCGATAAGCGAGGTGGAATTGGATTGGGAAAAACCTAGTTTTGTATGAGAAAAAAGAACAAAAAGAAAAAAAAGACCGCGGATTAGCTTGATAACATGTAAAGCCAGAAAGCTATTCCCATGCTTGTCGGAGTGAATGGCAAGTTGGCAACCATATCCTCTTTTTTTATCACAAGAAGTGAAATTATCTGCCCCCAGGGCTTTGGCCAGTAGTAACCAGATTTGTCTACTGACAAAAGTGTGTTATTTAAAGGGTATACGGGCAGACCCATTATCCATTGATTTTCAAATCGTGACTATGCCCCAGGTAAAGTTTCTCTGGTTAGTAAAAAGAGAAGTTTGAGAATTAGTCTATGCAACTAGGAGTTGGGCACTCAATTCATTTCTTAAACAAATTCGAATTTCTAAACTGTGTCGAGACCAGAATCAAACTGCCTTTTCCAGGATTTTACCTAACTATGTTACTCTGTAAAATCATTGAAAATGTCGACGAACTTGAATACTAGGAGATGATGGTTATTAGAGAAAAAAATAATAAAGGAGTCTGAGATGAGACTTTAAAAAGATCACGGGATTTGGTTAACCTCTATGTGTGAGCAGCTGCTTAGAGTAGATCTTGCACTAGATTCTGGGGGAATAGTTCTGTTCCCTATATTTTAAATTTTGATAGTGCAATCATTTTATTGGTGCGATCATCTCTTTAGTGTGGTTGACTAGGTTGCATACAATCACTGTTAAGATGACATCACTTTGTTGGAACAATCACCCCTGAGAATATTACTAGGATGTAATGCCAATTTTCAGAGCATTATCCATTTCATCCTCAACTGGTGTTAATTTTACTCTCTTGCATCATTTTTCATTTTTGACTCTACATTTTGTCACTCTAGTGCAAAACCATTGTGAAAAAACTCTTGCTATGACTTCTTATAGAAGATCCAAATTAATAAACCTTGGATGTTGCAGCGCAATCGCATGTGTATATCAATGGAGTTGGTCACGGCAGTGTTGGGGGACCACGGACAACGCCCACGAGATGATTATGGTAAGGTTTCAAAGGAAGCCTAACAATTCCATGAAATTATATCTTGAGAGTTGTCATATTTCTTCAGTTCCAAAAAAATAAATATTTGCAGTTTCAAAAAAGGAAGTGGTCATATGTCTTGGTTTCAACGCCCAGCCTGCAACCTGGTGCACACCTTGACTAATTCCATGGGTACATGTTACCTCCCACTAGTACGAGGTATCGAGTAACTCTGTCCCCCAAGGCTGGGACAGATGGGAAGAAATCACCTAGTTTTTTTGCTTCCGATGGGATTTGAGCCTGAAGCCTCATCTCCGCAACCCACTTTATTGACCACTAGGCCACACCGTTGGGTGCTCTTTAGCATTTGAAAAGAGTACTTGACTATCTTTTTGGGTGAAACTGGCTATGTGTTGGTCTTGAGAGATGACAATATTAGTTGTGTTGAACTTTAAAAACTTAAGGATCTGTAGGTGCTTTCTGTGTAGGAGAATCCTTCATAGTTTTGGAGGCTACATGAGAACGTGGATTTATGTACAGTCTGAGCACCACATTCTGATTGTCCAAAATGTACTTGTTTGTTGGCTAGGTTGTTTATGGTCATGTGTTTGTAATTGACTGTCGCGGCTTGCGACATCAATCAGATTGCCACCTTTTGCTGATACTTTTTCTGATCTTTCTTTGAACAGCGGTTGTGACTGCAGTCACGGAGTTGGGAAGTGGAAAACCAAATTTCTATTCAACTCCCGATGTAATTGCTTTTTGCAGAGAATGGAGATTACCAACAAATCATATATGGCTGTTCTCAACAAGGTATGCGTTTAAGTGTGTGCTGGTTTCATTCTTATTGTGGAAAATATTTGTGTCACAGTTGATACAAGCAACCATTGGGTTTATGAACTTTTAGTTTGGCAGTTAAAGTACAGCAATAAGGAACTGACTTGTGGCAGGAATATTGTAAAGAAGTTAACAGATATTGAAGGTTATCTAGCAGCTGCAAAAAACAAAAATATCGAGGACAATAAGTAAGACTTGAAGTATGTTCGCCTTAGACGTGGATCTTTTTTGTAGTGTAGCAACGTAAACAGTAGGGCATAGGAGGAGTAAATCTATGAATACTTGCTAGTTTCCCGAAAAAGCAGAATTTATAACCTCATAGCAGCAGGTTTGCAATAGGAGTTGGCTAGCCAGGTATCACTTTGAGGCCCTGTACGAGGTTGACCGTGAGTAGCGTAAGAACAAAAGCTGTGAGACTATTGGTTGATGAACAGTCCCATGCAGCATGATGGTTTTTTGCTGTTGATACTGGTTATGGAGCTATCTTTATGCTATGTTATATGGCTGTTCAGATACAAGTACTTCAAATCTTAATAGTTTTGGTGCCTTTTAAAGGACTTGGACAATGCAGCCATGTCTATGTTGCACTCATTTGACACAAGTCCATCAAGATAAATCAAAAGTGAAGAGTAGATATATTTTAGGCTATAAGAAAGGGAAGTTAGCAGTACACCAGACTTTTAAAGGACATACATTTTTTCCCAAGAAATATGCTGGATGTGTTGTATTATACCAATTAAAGGACATATATTTAAAGATATCATGATGCAGATTGTCTTCGGATTCTTGTTAGTGTTTTACTATTATGAGGAGTAAACTTCCTTTCTCTCAGTTTGTAACACTATTCAGGAACATATATCATAGGTGCTTGTAACTACAATTTCTTTCAACCTTCAAGGTTAACCTAGCTACGTCATGTTGCTTTGGTTTCAAATCTTTTTTATATGGTCATTATTTTATTGATATAGATGAGATAATCTGGCATAAAAATAGTATATTAGAAGTAGAAAGTGCCACACCAAGATATGATTTTCCACAAACCAGATCCAAGTTATTTCCACACCATTTGCCATGGCAATAATTTAGAAGTGCTTCACTCCTTTCTCAAACTTTTTTCGAATATAACTCCAAGCAAAGTAAATTGTTTTCATGTTTCTCTATTTCTTTGCTTTAATGATAATTTCTCTCACTGCCAACCAATCCCCCCACAAAATAAATTGTGGGAGCTCTAAGAAACCACTGCCCTAGTAAATTGCGCTCATATTCTGTCCTCAATATTCTATGGTAGAATGAGTTCACTGGAAGAAGAAACTGTTTCAGTCTGCCTACTTCGAGGTGTTATGAGTCATCTGTGTATTCTCTTCTTAGATAGCTCAAGAAGAGTATTGAATTCCCACACCTACTGAATACAGCAAACTTCTTCTGATTTTAAGGTCTCAGCAGACTTGTCGTTTCCCATAAATGGAGACCTGTGAAATGGTCGTCAATGTTGACAAAATATACACAAGATAACAGGCTGTTGGGTGTTTGTCGCTGGCTTCTGTGAAAAGCTAGGTCATGTGGCAACTCTAATACCCATTCTGAATGGCTTTCTTACTAATTGAAGATGGTAGTTTATCCATTTGTTTGCTCTCGGTGTCAATTTCATTGGTGATTGTTCCACATCGCCTCTTTTCCATTAAAAAGAACACATAAAATTTGGGTATGTTTCTTTGTAATTGGAGTAGGAGAAACTGTCTATTTCTGAAAAATTCCTTGGTTTCCGTGTGAAGGAAATCAGTTACTTCCTTCTTTGCTGCGTTTGATGCACTCTGTGAGGAAGGTACAGCAACCTCTGTTTGCCAGGCTCTTGCTGAAGTTGCTGACATTTCTGTACCTGGTAAGTTTAGCATTGTGCAAAACATTATTTGAATTGTTCAACTGATTTCACTTGATTGGTTATCTTTTGTGTGACTTCTAATTGTTTTGGTTAGGTGGTTTGCCATATGAGTGTATTCTCTGTTACCCTCCCTCCACTGAGATGATGTAATTTAACCAAGAATGATGCAGAACTGCTTGGGACATTAGTTTGAACTCTTAAAAAAGTGGAGTAGGTAGTTAAAAAAATATGTCAGATGATCATCATTATGTAAAGTTGTTGTTATTAAGATGTCAGATGATCATCAGGATATAATATTGTAGTTATACTAATGTATGTTGCTGCACTTCTAGAGAAGGACACGGTTTTTAAAGTAATGAAGTAACTTGTATTTAAGTAATCTGGAGGAAGAGTTTGGTTGGATGCAGTGCCATGCATATTCCAATTTCCTTCATATGCCATATTGTCGTCATGGCACCCATAATCGACCAAGGAAATCACTGCTGTAGAGTGCTGTTTCTATCCCTCAGGCCTTTGCTTTTGGTACAACTCGTCTAAGGTTTTACCCTGGATTTTCATATTATGTGCTTAGATTCTCCCTTCACTCTCTTTTGCTCTTTAAAGGCTTTATCTCTAATTCTCTATCATCAATTCTTGCCCACTGGGTATGTCGCCAAATTCATTCTCCTACTGCAGACAATTGTCACGATTCATCTTTTTCTGTTTACTTCTTTCAATGAGTAGTTTCATTTGTTTGTTTCCTTTATGGATCTCTAAGAGCATTGTCGTGTTGTTAAAAGCAAAATGCTTCATGTGCTTCTAAACTTTGATTGCTGCTAAAAGCTTACATCCCTTTGGGAAGTGAAATGACAATCTGAAATTAGCCATTCCTTCATGCTATTATCTGTATAATAGCCTGTACATTGTTTGTTTATGTTGTTTGTACTCGTCCTTGAAGTAGTGTTTTTCTCCTACATACTTTGGTTTGATGTGCAGGATCAAAAGACCATATAAAAGTGCAGGGTGAAATTTTGGAGGGCCTCGTGGCACGCATTGTAAAACGTGAGAGCTCAGAGCATATGGAGCGGGTTCTAAGAGATTTTCCTCCTCCTCCATTAGAGGGTGGTAAGATCTTTTCTTATATGATCCTACTAAATACTCTACGTTATTTGTTGGGGTTAACATGTTTTATTTGTATGCTTCAATGGAGTAGTGAGAAGAGATTGTTTATTCATGGTGCGATTAAATGGTTAAAGAAGCCTAAATGACAATATGAGTGACCCACATCACCTTGTGACTGAGTTTTGAAATGAATCTTCTAATCAGCAACTAATCGTCTTAGTCTCCTGTAATACACCCCCTCAAGTAAGTACATCTAAAATATGCTTCATCAAGCGCACAAATAAATGCATGATATCAATGTTGAAGTGGCTTAAGTGATTAAGGCATCAGATGAACTAAAGAAAGAAGACGTACCAAGTAAATAGAAATAGCTAGTAGAAATATCCTCTCTTGAATAATTCATGTGAGGAATCTACCACAAGTTCAACTCTTTCAATTTCTTTGGTTGTGTGTGCTTTTTATCTTTTTTTTTTTTTACTTTTCTGTGCTCTTGATGTGAATCAATAGTTTATATTTTGCTAGATATTCGGAACATAGTTCCTTCCGCCTTCGACGGGAAAATTTAGGGAATTAGTCGATAAGTCCTGCCAGAGATGTAAAGAGCTCCTAGTGTACTTTTTATTTTTATTTTGTTTAGTATTGGTCTAAGCCTGAATGGAGAGGCATTGTCAATGAGGCATACCCCAATTCAATTGGGGTTCAGGCATTGTAGTTGTGGGACAATTGGGTTTATTACTCCTTTTGATGTTCATAATTGTTCTTGCCTTTTCCAGAGGGTTTGGACTTGGGACCTACGCTGCGTGAGGTTTGTGCTGCAAATAGATCAGAAAAGCAGGTACATGTCGATGTGATTCAGCAACAAAGAGTAGTTTCATGTAACAAAAGTACCAAACTCCATTTCTCTTTATGTGCAGCAAATCAAGGCGCTTCTTCAGAGTGCTGGCACGGCTTTCTGCCCGAATTATTTGGACTGGTTTGGAGATGATGATTCTGGCTCACATTCAAGAAATGCTGATCGCTCTGTTGTGTCAAAGTTCTTACAGTCACATCCTGCTGATTTTTCTACAGGAAAATTACAGGTTTGGGAAAATTTCTGAAGTGATTCAATCAAAATATCTCCTAATTAATTTGTTGATGTTACTGTTATTTCTTGATAGTCATCACTGACCTAACCAAATTAGTTTCTTCTTGTATGTTACTGCAATTTTCTTATATTGGTAGCGGTTTTCAGAAAGAGGAGCTAGCTAACTTGCTACCCAGTTGTATATTTACCCTAGTTTTCTTCCCTAATCATCAACTTTTCAGATCACCCTCTTTTTGTAGCATGCTCAACAAAACCTCATTTTAGCATAATTGCTTTCATGATGATCATTGCTAATTACTTCATGTTGACGGAGATTTACCCTAGTTTTCTTCCCTAATCATCAACTTTTCAGGTCACCCTCTTTTTGTAGCATGTTCAACAAAACCTCATTTTAGCATAATTGCTTTCATGATGATCACTGCTAATTGCTTCATGTTGACAGAGATTTCATATCCTCTACCAGGTGTTTCATCCTAACAACTATTTATTAGGCTAAAGAAGTGCCACTACACATGAAATTTTTTATTAAAGGGCGCAAACGACAAAGGTCAACACATTGATTGAAGAGGGGGGCAAAGAGATATTCACCCTTGACTTCTTCTCCGCCTAGTTGGGTATTTTTTGCTAAAGCAGATGAAGTATGAATACAAAAACCATGGTTGGTAGTGTCGGAGAAATAAATTGTAGTACAGGAGATAATCCAAAATAGAAGATGTGTGAGAAAAATTCACCAGAGCTTATTATAAAGGTGGTTATTTTACTTATAAAAGAAATGGAGGGAGATAATACATCCTTAAGGGAAGATATAATAGTTTAAGTATCAAGTTTAAAGAGTTTACAGTATTTTGGATTAACATGTCACACCCGAATTTAGTTACTCATAGAATACTCTTGTGTTCTGTTTCGGTTTTAGAAGACAAAATCATACTGCAACCGCAACTTTTGCTTAGTCCCTGGCATTCTTGTGGTGATTAATAACAGTAGAGGGAACATGGAGAAACATTGCAATTCAAGTAATTTTGGAGACATGAGAAAGTGAGAATAACTACCTCTCGAAGGAAATGTTGTGTAACTTGGAAATTAAGCTTGTTTGGATTTGTGGTACACTCAATGGATTTCAAATACCTGACTTCGTATTTCATGTTTTCCTGTCACAAAATCCTATATTTTTACTTCAATGTTCACTCTTCTTAAAATACGTTGTGGTTTAATTTGACTTTGAGTTTTAAATTGCAAACCATTTTAGTGTAGGGGTACCCTGAGTGTGATGATGAGTCGTTAGTTTTTTGTTGTTGTGAAGGAGCAAGAGTTGAATATGCAGGTTTTCATTGTCCTATTGGTGGAGTTTTCCATTGAGAACGTGAGCTTTGCTTACAATCAAAAAATGAAAGCACGTCGCCCAATTTTACTAAGGGAGGAGTACAATTATGCTGTAAATATGGTGTTGATGTTTCAATCATCGTTTGCTTTTGCTCCCTATTTCAGTTGTCTTTTAAATTTTTATGCATGTCTGATTCTCTATCTTACACCTTACTTGGTTGAGGTTAAAATGAATGATTGCCAGAGGGGAAGTAATAATTTACTTTCTTTTAGCTGCACAAATCATCAGGAAGGGATGAACGAGTAACTTCCCAATAGTAAATCAATGGTCCCGTCTCTTCTTCACATCATCTTTCCATCTCTCTGAGAGGTTGAACAATAATTGTGATGTTCACTAATTATATGCATCTTTTATTTCATACATGAAAGAGTTTTGGTTTCTTCCTCTCTCTGGCTAAATAGGTCCTGTCTTTTGTCATTGCTTTTGGCTGTCTCCACCCCCACCTTATTGTTTGGAAAATACACCGACCTTCTGATTGTGCTCATGGAACTACGTGAATTAGTCTTGGTGTGTGGCTTAATTGTTTTCTGACTTTTTTTTGAAGAACCTGATAGATAGTTGTCAGATTTTAGTTATCTCTTTAGTCTCAACTCTGTTAACCATCATTTGGGATATATTCATCTTCAGGAAATGGTTCGTTTGATGAGGGAAAAACGCTTTCCTGCTGCTTTCAAGTGTTACTATAACTTCCATAAAATTAATGATTTATCGAGTGACAACCTGCCTTTCAAAATGGTGATCCACGTACATAGTGATTCAGGCTTCCGCCGGTACCAGAAAGAGATGAGGTTGATTTTTAACTATTTCAACAGACTTTAATGTTTAGCTATTGGGTTTTTCTGCATATCTTGTGTGATTTCCTTGATTAAAATAATTCTTTTCATGTCAGACACAAACCAGGACTGTGGCCTTTGTATCGAGGTAATATTTGTTCATTTATTATTCTCAGCCAAAACTGGAACTGATCTGTTAGCTGCAGTTGTATAGCCTTTAACCTTGCTAACTTGTAAAGCTATTACTTTGAAGTGAGAAACCAGGTTTGTCTAATCATGTATAACATTGAAATCGACTCTTTGGTTAGTCTTTGAGTCCTGCATAGCTAATCATGTACAATTTAGTACACCAATTGCCAATTGGTATCATTTTATACCTAATAAAACACGGATAGCAGTATATAGACTAAACATCAAAATATAAAATTAACCTTTATCTTTTTCTTTAATCCATCATCAACACCCTTTCAATTTATTAAGTTCAGATATAAATACTCACTCCGTCCCATTTTATGTGAGGTAGTTTGACTTGGCACATAGTTCAAGAAAGAAAGGAAGACTTTTAAAATTTGTGGTCCAAAATGAATGATAGAAATATGTGTGGCCGTAAATAATTTCATTAAGGGTAAACTAGACATTTTATAGTTAAATTGTTACTTAATATAGAAACACTAAAAAGGAAAGTAAGTCACAGAGGGAGTACATATTTTTAATCTTTCCCTATATATCCCCTTTTTAGTACAAGTAACCAAATAGCACGCCGCTTCAGTCCCAAACATGTTGGGGTCGGCTATATGGATCCTCACTTCTCCATTTAAGCTCATTTCGTATCATCGTCATACTAAATAAAGTTTGAAGTAAGAAGTTTCATATATATATATATATATCAGCTTTATTTCTTCCTCTTCTGGGAGTAAATGAGTGGTTTCTTGCTGGTGCTTGAGGTGAAACTTCTGTTACTCCTATTTGAGAACAAAGCTATGGCATTTAGAAAGTCATATAAAATTTGGATGCAAGACAATTTTGAAAGTCTCCTTTGGGGGAACACAAAAAGTTACATAGTCATTTTCCGTCTGAATGATCTATAGTCATGTCCCATCTGAATGATCTATAGTAGTGCCCCCTATAGATGCTTTAGTTCCAGTCTTCACCTGCTATCTTCTGTTATGTTAATTAAAAAAAGTGTAGTCTTCATTCAGTGAGAGCCTCCGTCCCTCCTTACTCATCCTATCATCTTTTGCACGCTGAGTTGCTGATGTAGCTGTTCACAGGCTTTTTTGTTGACCTGGATTTATTCAAGGTCAATGAGAAGAAAACTGCCGAAATGGTAGGAAGTAGCAATCAAATGGTAAAAAATGAGGAAGAGGATAGCCGTTTAGCTGATGAAGATGCAAATTTGATGGTCAAGATGAAATTCCTTCCTTACAAGGTAATGCAGTTACCAGATAAGCTTTCACTAACAGAGACTTCATGTGACTTGCCTGTTTTTGAGTTGAATCTGGTTGTTCTGCTGCTACTAGGGGCATACTTTTTCAAGTTTTCGTTATTCTTTTAAATTATTTTATTTCTTTGATGCATGACTCATGCAGAATAGAGCAGTGCATGAAATAATTGCCCATTATCTCATGCTTATTAATTATAACCAAAACAGTAAGCTTATTTGATGCTGGAACCAATATTGGCCGCTAGAAGATGGCGAGATACCATCCTAGATTTTACCATAAACGACACGGACTAGGGATCGATAGATGTTGCTTTTAGGATCCTTTCACCCTCTCATGAGAAATCAAAGTTTGTGGTATAGAGTATATCTGTAAGGCTAAAGTCAAAGGAGTTGGGAGAGCCACTGGCCCACCAGATGTCAAGCCTGCTGCTTAATTTTATTTTAAAGAACACTTCGGTGATACTACATCAATCGTGTTAAGAAAGGATAATCTTTTGGTTTTGTTATAAAGATTTTACAAAGATGGCTATATAGAAGTAGGTTTTTTGGTGTAAACCAGAGTACATGGTAAATCTAGAATCAATTAAAGATGTTTTAGGTTCCTTGTAAATTTTGCTATAGATTAAAGATCTTCCTGGTACTCTCCATAACTGTAATTAGGAATCTGTGACTTGTTGTGGCAGG